GGAGTAGCAGTAGAAAGGCTGCAGAAAGAATCAGGAGCCCAGAGGAAGGGGCAAAGGAGGTGAGGTGGTGGGGGCAGAAAGAGGAGACGAAAGCAGACGACAGAACATTGCCAGAGAGCAGGAAAGGAGGTGAAAGTAGACAAATTTAGGGAAGAAAATGTTTCGGTCGCTACCCGGATTCGAACCCGGGACCTTTGAATGAGAGGCCAACACCTTAACCCCTAGGCCACGAGAGCCCCCTCAAGCATTGGAAGTCATCAAACGTTTACAATGATTTCCTTGTTACTTTTATCTCTCACACCAGATGACCCCAACCCCCTTCAGCGGCAAATATCTCGACTTCTATTCAGTGTAGATGGGCACCTTCTATTTCGTCAAAAGTATTTCGGTTTCGTAAGATCAAATTTTACGGCTCTTACAACACAATAAGGTCAAACAAGTGCCGAAGAATAGAGAGAGTAACAAACACAAAAAAGGAGGAGAGCTAATGACGATAGGTGTTTGATAGGAAAGAAGGACCAAACCACACCAGAGCACCCGTCAACCACCCATGTTCTTTTTTTTTTACAAGGGAGGGGAGGGGGGAGGACTCAAAACCTTTTTGTATCCATTTGAAAACAAATATCTCGACTTCTATACAAAGAAGATGGGCACCTTTTATTCCGTCAAAAGTATGACAGATGAACAAGCTTAATAGATGTATTATACCGTGAAACCTGTGTAAAACGACCTCCCATTGTCAAGGAGCAAAGTGGCCGTATAACACAGGCTTACACAAGTGGCCGTCTTAGGCAGGACTGATCAAAATTAAGAAAAAACGAACCATTCCCTTCTGAGGTCACAACCAGTGCTGATCTCAGGCTTTAGACTGCCATACGGCCAATTCAAAAGGGTTTTGTTTTTTTAAAGAGGGGGTGGGGGCTGAGGGTGAAAGAAGGGTTGTTGTTGTTGTTGTTGTTGTTGTTGTTGTTGTTGTTGTTGTTGTTGTTGTTGTTGTTGTTGTTGTTGTTGTTGTTGTTGCTGGTTTTGTTTTTGTTGTATGTTTTTTTTCTCTTTGTTTGTTGTTGTTTTTTGTCTGTTTGCTTGTGGAAGTGTAGCTGAAGGGGTTTGTTATCATTTTCAAACATTCCATTCCAAGTTCCCAACTGGAGTTGGTTGCTGGCTCTGGACATGGGTTACATTTCTGCATTAATGACGTCATCGGCGGCTGGATTTCTCGGAATGTGTGGAACATTTTTAGTTTTAGTAAGAGTTTACGTCACTTGGAACACCAATAAGGGCATATAAGTGCCGAAAAATAGATGTGTTACAAGAGAGTAACATACACAAAAAAGAAGGAGGAGAGATCAGGACGATAGATGTTTGAAAGGAAAGAAGGAGCAAACTACATCAGAGCACCCACCAACCACCCACGAAACATTTTTGTTTACGCAGACAAACGAAGTAATAGGTCTAAGTGTTACATTCTACAAAGTGTATCAAATGAGGAAGACAGTGTGCCAGGGTAAAACAAAACGAAATGTGTCAGACGAGAAAGACAATGTAAAAATAAACAAATGGGTCGCCACCACTCGGAGAACGAGCGACGCTTCTGTCACAAGTTTGCGCTGACGTCCATTGTTACAGACTAGAGGTGGGCAAATTCAGGATAATCTATAAGGATAACCGGATTATTCTCAATGAAACAGTATCCGATTTCTTGCCTGACCCGTTTGCCGAAGTGGGTGCACCCATTTGTTGAAGTGATGCTAACCCGTTAGTTGAAGCGGTTCATATCATATTATTTGCCGAAGAGGTGCACTAACATATTACCCGAATTTTGCTAAAGCGACTCATTGCCCAGCCCTATTACAGACTGGGAAAACAGTGACCGGTCACCTCACTTACGATTTGTGTGTGAGTTGTGGGCGGGGCTTGTAAGTTGTGACAGACCACAAGCTTCCCTCATCAGAAGCTGAAAATGTATTGTTGCCGGGTGGTCAACTTGGGTAAACAACAGTGGGTAGGACCTCCGGACATTGGAGGGACTAACAATAACGACAGGTGAATGGGTTATGACGGCTCGTCCACAGCGTCAGGGGCAAATACAGAATTTACAAAGGGTCTGGCGATGAAAGATTTTGGTAGCTGCTCTTTGACAGGTTGTTTTTGTTTTGTTTTTGTTTTGTTTTATTTTATTTTTTGTTATTTAGTTTTGTTTTAGTAAGGTTTTACGGCGCTCCCAACTGCATAAGGTCATATGAGCGCCAAGGGGTGAATGTCAACAGAGAAGTCCAAACGGAGAATCAGGTTTACTCTGCTCACCTCTCTAGCCTCAACAGCCCAAAGTCTACATCGACTATCAAGGCGCCCCGGAAATAGCAGTTCACAAGAGACAAAAACATGCAAATGAAGTAGACAAAAAATGACGATAGTAAGTTAAAGATGAGGAAAGAAAAAGCAGCAGTTCCCCCTATGTTGTTCCGGCACAGTATGAGCATGAAAATTGATAAATCATTCCATTTACAATTCTACTGTGCATAACAGCATATTATTAATATCCCCCCCTTTGGGAATGGCCTAAAGACACTTCAATCAGTGGCACTGCCCTGGAAAGGGGGGGGGGGGTTCGTTGTTTGGAGATCAGATAAGGTGGCCGCGGCTCTGTTGGATAGGTGCTCGTTTCGCACAGTGAAATTCTAGAAAAAGCGATATTGTTCCAACACATCCACTGATGTTCTTCCCATTGACGAAATACAACATCCCCTTGGTTACATTGGTTGTCTTTAAGCACAAGGGGTCTATCCCGAAAAATGCAGTATTGAGAAAATCAAAGCAAAAGTTTTAGCCCCTTGTTCTGTTTCTTAAAAAGACTTAATGAGAGATTTTTTTCGAAAACCAAACAAATATACACACCAATGAAACCAAACTTCTCCTATAGGTAGGGGAAATCCCACTTTTGGAGAAGGTCTGAATTTCTGGAAACACCAGAAATCTGTATTAGCCCGCTTGTTCTTAAGAGCGACCATTATTTTTGTTCGTTGGAAGTTTTGTTGAAATTCGGCCAAAAATGTTAAATCAGTGGCCTCTAGTGGCTCCTCTTTTTTTAGCACCCAGTATCATCGCACTCTCCCACCCCCATTCCATCCCCTACCCTTAGTGGGTCGTTGGCGGGTGCTCTGTGTGGTTTGCTTCTTCTTTTCTATCAAAAATTCTATTGTCCCTATCTCTGCTCTTTGTGTGTGTGTGTGTGTGTGTGTGTGTGTGTGTGTGTGTGTGTGTGTGTGTGTGTGTGTAGTTC